TTCTTCAGTGCTCTGTAAAAAAACAGTCTCAGATCTAGCTTTTAGTCGATATGTTTACTCTGCTGGGGATATTACCACTGGGATATTACCACTGAAAGAGTTTGGGAGAAGCTTGCCTCATTGTCCAAGGTCTCAATATAAGATTTGACACTTAGGAAATGTTCATTTTGGTTACATAAACAAGAGGAGACAAGTTGTTTTTGGTCCTTCCACGCTTCCACCAGGACATCATTTACATCATTTGACTGGTTGTATTTCCAAAACTAATTAAAGGTATATATGAAGATTTTATACTTCCGGGTGGATAGTTAAGACTTGGTCCTCTAATGGTCAATCATTTTGGTGAAACGTGCCCGTCAAATAAGACAAAAGAGATTTTTTTTTAAAGTGGAGCGGGAGGTTTTTTCCTAACATTTTGGAAAATCCTCTTCTACACCTTTAAGATAGAACAATTCTTCCATGGTGTCATATACTGGGGTTTTCTCAAAGAGTGACGAGTTAGAAAAAAATAGCATTTGACCAGAAGGGGCGGTTGTCTTATCTCGTTATGTTTACATTTACTTCTATTAAGCTAAAGTCAGTTAAGAGATAAGATAAGATAAGATTTGCTTTATTTATTTCACAGAGGAGAAATTTACATGTCACATTTGGCATGGATAGAGACACTCAGATTGTGCAAAAGGAGGAAATGTGCAAACATGTTACATGCAGGATATATGTACAATAAAGTGACAATAATTATGTACAACAAAAGTGACAAGTGTCAATTGGAAACAGTGTCAATAGTAGTGCAGGTTTTCACACAGTGATCATTTAAAGTGACTTATTGTACAGTCTGACAGCGGTGGGGATAAAGGCCCTGCGGTAGCGCTCCTGATGCAGATGGAGAGGGGGGAGAATCAAACCGGTTGAAGAATTGGTTAAATTCATCCGCCCGGTGCTGGTCTCCATCCGCTACATACAGTAGGTCCAGAGTCTTATTGCCACGAGTTGGGCACGTGACATACTGTTTGAATGTCGGGAGAGTGGCGGAGAGGGAGGCGTGGTTAAAGTCTCCGCTGATCAGAATCAGAGCGCGGGGACTGCGGGTCTGGATCTGGGTCTGTGATCCAGATCCAGACCCGCAGTGTGTATCTCCTCACATGCTGCGGCTGCGTCCGCTGACGGGGGGATGTAAACACATAAAACCACGGTGTGTGAAAACTCCCGCGGCAGATACCTGGGTCTCATACCTGATACCTGGGTTTCATACTGAATTCTTGCTTCTTTGTTTTGCTAAAGCTAGAGACTTTAGTCTTTACCAAATGGCCTTCCCATAACTATATCTTTTTATGCCTAGCTTACATCGGACTGGCAACTGATTATATCCGTCGCATAATGAGTTGCTGCCCCGCACACATCGACAATCTGGCGAAAACGGGCAACTCCCAGTAGCAGACCAGTCTCGGGAATAACAGCGCGTACATCGACAGCAACTGGCCTCAACTACAGTGTGTTTTCTGCATAAACTGTAGAGGGCGCAATACACGCAACACACACATGCAGCCTCGCGGAAATTCAACTCTGGAAGACTGACGGCTACAGCCACCCCTTCCAGGCCGGCCTCGCATCCTCAGCCTATCGCACAGCAAACGCCCATTTCCAACCAACTTATGCTGGTCAAGCCAGCAGCTTAAAAGTGGAGAAACTCCCACTTTACGGCCTTCTCGAAGCCTTGCAAACCACCGCCTCCCCTCCACCTCCTTTTCTCACCCTGCCTCAAGCATGCCTCTTTCCTGCTGCCCGAATGCCACCACCAGTGCCTAGGTCCCGGGGGGATTGTGCGCGCACTCACGCAGGAGCCTCGCTGACTAAACGCCGCACCGGGGCCTAGGGCGCCAAACCACCTTCCAATAAAAACATTCAAAATGCATTTTGTCTTCTGAAGTCTCTCCAGATTGAAATGTAAGCGCGCACATTGGGTGATATCTCCGGATCTGAGGACAACTAGTTGCCGAAAAGTAGAACACGGACAACTCACTGAATCAGGAGATCGACTGTTTATCTCCAGTTGTAAGAGCGCTCACATCGACCGATTTCACCAAATGATCATCTCCATCATCTCCTCTCAGTTGTCAAAAGCCGCCATGCAACTAGTTGTCTCCAGTTACTCTGTCGATGTACGATTGGCTTTAAAGTCTACATGTATTTCAGCCAAAGCAATTTCCTCGTCTGTGACTTCATGTTACTTACATGGCAATAAAACTGATTCTGAGTCATTGTTTTGTCTTTCTTGTTGTCCGTCTGCTTTAATCTCCTGTATTTCATGAATTTATATTATTATGAATGCCTTTTTTAGAGAATTATGACTGTTTTTTATTGCTTTATGCTAACTGTAGCGCTTTGCTATAAAAAAAGATGTATTATTATTATTATTACTAATTGCTTCTTTATCATGCTAAAGATAAGAGATTTTATATTAATTTAGTATTGAGTTATTGTTCATGTATCTTTTGCTGTGTGCTCCTCATTCCTTACTGTTCTGTAACTGGTGATGCAACACTGAAATTTCCCCACTGTGGGACGATTAAAGAATCTCAAGATCTTAATCTTGGTTTGTATTGTGCAGAAGTTGTTGTTTTTGAACTCCTCTGTCATCTGTATACGTTCACTGTTTCTCATTGTATGTTTTAACGGGGGGTGATGTGTGAAAAGCGCTACATAAATAAACATTGCTTACTTACTTCTCGACATTAGCATGGATGTTCTCCAGAGCTGCACCCGGGAATATGTCTCCTGTTTAATGAAAGCGGCTGCAAATGTACACAGCGGCTGAACTTTCAAAAGGGAAACATAAAAAGGTCACGTTACCAAAGAGTTTGCGACTTGGGGACGTCTGCAGAGATGAACAACTATCTAATCCAGAGGGTGTCCAAACTTTTGAGTAAGAGGACCACGCTAATGCCTCATATCTATTGTTTTATTTTACAACTTGGTTTTACCGAGAGCCAAAAGCAAATATTCCTGGTTTGTCACTTCCTGTTTCTTACAATGGCAGTAAAAATAATTCTAATTTTGATTCTGTGTTTGTTTACAAGAGACAATTTTAAATAACTGTTTCTTTCCGTAATTATTCTAGGGAAAAGTATGGAGGTAAGAGATCTTATATTCGTCCCACAGTGGGGAAATGTCAGTGTTGCCACATATAGAATAGTTGGAATGAGGAGCACAAAGCAAGAGAGGTGAACTATAATCTCTGTAGCTATAATCTCTAGCTATGGCGCAATAAAGAAGCAAGTATAAAACCTGCAATGTTACCATAACAAAGAAGCAAGAATAAAATATACAATCTCTGACTTTAGCTTAATAAAGAAGTAAATATTATTACAAATACAGTACAGACCAAAAGTTTGAACACACCTTCTCATTCAAAGATTTTTTTTATTTTCATGATAATGAAAATTGTAGATTCACACTGAAAGCATCAAAACTATGAATTGACTCATGTGGAATTATGTACGTATAAAAAAGTATGAAATAACTGAAATATGTCTTATATTCTAGGTTCTTCAAAGAAGCACCTTTTGCTCTGATTACTGCTTCACTCTTGGCATTCTCTTGATGAGCTTCAAGAGGACCTGAAATGATCTTCAACAGTCTTGAAGGAGTTCCCAGAAATACTTAGCACTTGTTGGCCCTTTCGCCTTCACTCTGTGGTCCAGCTCCAAAACCATCTGGACTGGGTTCAGGTCCGGTGACTGTGGAGGCCAGGTCATCTGGCCCAGCACCCATCACTCTCCTTATTGGTCAAAGGGCCCTTACACAGCCTGGTGCGAATCTACAGTCAATAGTCATGAAAAGAAATATCATTTAAGGAGAAAGTGTGTCCAAACTTTTGGTCTGTACTGTACATAATAATAACCATACTATTGAGACAAGGCAAGCAGATGTATTTAAAAGCACATAAAAATCATTCATCTTTAAGAGCACAATGTTCCAGGGGTCGACAACATACTGTAGATGGACTGGATTCAGGCTGTTGTGAGTCTGCTGTACGCACAATCTTCTTCTAAATAAGGATGTCCAGGTCTAAACCCTGTCATAGACACATTCATTAACATTTGTTGTATATTATATTTCTTTTTTATTATGATGTTCAAGATAGAGATTTTAAGACTTGTTTTTTGATGCTAGAGCTAGATATTTTATTTTAATTAGTAAAGCTATTGTTCATTTATCTTGTGCTGTGTGCTCCTCATTCCTACTGTTCTGTAACTTGTGATGCAACACTAAAATGTTCCCGCTGTGGGACAAATAAAGTATATCTTTTCAAATGGCAAACAAACTTGAAACTGAATCTGACATAAATACATTGCCACCTCGCACACTGCACTAGTTTTTTAAAAGCCAAGCGGTGAGAGTGAGTCCGTCTTGTGCAGTCTTGCGTGAGGCGTGGGAAACACAGTCTCTTTGGACACTGGACACATCCGGACATGAGGTGTGAGCTCCTCAGCGTCGCCGTGGAGACCTGCTGAAGCTTCATTATCCGAGGACGTGGAGAGGAAAGCGTTCAGTCGTCTTGTTTATGACTTCCTCTGTTCGCTCTTGTTGACATTTTGGACAAACATGTTTTCACACATTAGCATCGCAGGAAACTTGCTCCAAAAGGAAACTGAGTTAATAACAGAATTAATCCCTAATGATTATCTGGTATTTGCAAAGGACCTTTCTGAACAAGGTGCAAAGTACATGACAAGATACACACACACACAAAATAGACAAAAAGAAAAGCAACAAAAACACACATTAGTCTGCGTCTATCTACACATGTAAAAGTAGAAAGGCATTTTTTTATCTGCTGGATGTAAAGCACGAGGGAGTTCCATTGGGAGAGAGTCTGTGTCCAGCCTCGCTCTGTAGACCTCTGCTTTTAGACCATGTTAATGCGGAAACCTGCGTTAAAAGGCAGGTCGATGGACAGAGCACTTATTGAGCTGTAGAAACATTTTACAAGGACACATCTATAATGGAAAGAGCCGCACAAGGCCCGTGGGCAGTAGGGGCGTGGGCAGTAGGGGCCGTGGGCAGTAGGGCTGTGGGCAGTAGGGGCCGTGGGCAGTAGAGGCCGTGGGCAGTAGTAGCGTGGGCAGTAGGGGCCGTGGGCAGTAGGGGCGTGGGCAGTAGGGGCGTGGGCTGCAGGGGCCGTGGGCAGTAGAGGCCCTGGGCAGTAGGGGCGTGGGCAGTAGGGGCGTGGGCAGTAGGGGCCGTGGGCAGTAGAGGCCGTGGGCAGTAGTAGCGTGGGCAGTAGGGGCCGTGGGCAGTAGGGGCGTGGGCAGTAGGGGCGTGGGCTGCAGGGGCCGTGGGCAGTAGAGGCCCTGGGCAGTAGGGGCGTGGGCAGTAGGGGCGTGGGCAGTAGGGCCGTGGGCAGTAGAGGCTGTGGGCAGTAGGGGCATGGGCAGTAGGGGCCGTGGGCAGTAGGGGCCGTGGGCATTAGGGGCCCTGGGCAGTAGGGCCGTGGGCAGTAGAGGCCGTGGGCAGTAGGGGCCGTGGGCAGTAGGGGCCGTGGGCAGTAGAGGCCCTGGGCAGTAGGGCCGTGGGCAGTAGAGGCCGTGGGCAGTAGAGGCTGTGGGCAGTAGGGGCATGGGCAGTAGGGGCCGTGGGCATTAGGGGCCGTGGGCAGTAGAGGCCGTGGGCAGCAGGGGCCGTGGGCAGTAGAGGCCGTGGGCAGTAGAGGCCGTGGGCAGTAGGGGCCGTGGGCATTAGGGGCCGTGGGCAGTAGGGGCCGTGGGCATTAGGGGCCGTGGGCAGTAGAGGCCGTGGGCAGTAGGGGCCGTGGGCATTAGGGGCCGTGGGCAGTAGGGGCCGTGGGCATTAGGGGCCGTGGGCAGTAGGGGCCGTGGGCAGTAGGGGCCGTGGGCAGTAGGGGCCGTGGGCATTAGGGGCCGTGGGCAGTAGAGGCCGTGGGCAGCAGGGGCCGTGGGCAGTAGGGGCCGTGGGCAGTAGAGGCCGTGGGCAGTATGGGCTTGAGGCCGGACGGATAAAGTGAAAATAAGAAATAATAATAGTGTTAAGAAATTGTATACATATCATTGCATGAAATTTGTTTTTTGGATTTGATGTTGATGTTTCTATTGTTAGTGCTTCATTCGTCGGAAATAATGTTGGTGTATTGCGTTTATGGACATCAACTGTATGCAGCCTGCAGCCCACTGAAATGAGAAGACATGTTCTTCATGCCATATTCATTATGATAGCATAAAAAACATGCACTATTCTATTTCTAATATCATCCACAGACATATCAGGCAGTGCAACTTTTACGTGTATAGCTGCTTCCTACACAAAGAGCTTCACAAAATAAGGAGGCATTCAAATCCTAATCCTTCAGTTGTACGCACTGCAAAACTACTGTTTTAACCTGGATCTGAACAGTGGAGTCACAAGTTACCTTCATTTGGGAGTTATGGAGACCCATGGAGTGGAAAGAATTAAACACGCAGACTCTCCCACCTCATAAACATAATTTACTCCAAACGGAAACGTCAGGTACCAAACCTGCAACCTTCTTGCTGTGAGGCACCAGTGCTTCCCACACACTTTTATAATGTGAGAGAGATAAGATATATATATATTCGTCCCTCAGTGGAGAGATTTCAATGTCATTGTTGCACATTAAAGTAGAATAAAAGGAGGAAATAAGAGACTCAGGTTATGCACACATCAAACAGGATCTATTATATAAGATGATAGATAATAACATAAATAATTAGATCCATCTATTTCCTTTCCTGCCAGGTCACGGGGGCAGCAGTCTAAGACTATCCACACACACTTGCCCCACCCCCGAGGCGTTCCCAGGCCAGCTGAGAGACTTATGCGCTTTTCCACAGTATCAGTACGGTACAGTACAGTATGCTTCAGCGCGGTTATTTTGAGTTTCCACTAGTGGATGGTATGGGGGATTTGCGTGCTTTTCCGTACTGCCTCAGCATTGGTTCCATCCCCATAGTACCGGTACCATGACGTGATGTCGGCCCACTGCCTCACACTGATTGGTCAACGAGTGTCGTCACTGGAGGCGACATCTGACACTTTGGGAAAAACAACTCAACCGCCATCTTTAAAACCGGCTGCTCTGCTCGGCTCTGCTTCGGCTACATTACGTCCTCCTCACTCCAGAGAAATGGAATTGCACAGAAAGCCCCAAAAGTCCTGGTCCTGGTCGGTGGAAGAGGTCCACACGTTCCTCTCTTCAGGCCAAAGAAAGAATTCAAAGGCAGCTCGAGGCTCAACAGTTTTCAGGAGATCACCAGCTCTAGATTTGTGACTAGTCTGTGGTAATCCTGAAATAACTGGTTGGCTACGAACCCCCTAAAGCTCTCACTGAAATGTATTTACTGAGTAAATGTTTGATGGTCTGTTGTACACAGTGAGCTAGCTACACTTAGCTTCATTTAGCTATTGATAGCAGCTAAGCTAACGTCCTCCCTGTGCTACTGTGCTTTATCTCGTATTATCTGCAGTATTCACGTGTTGTCATTCTGTTTTGTGTTTGTATTTAAGTTGTTGTGTGTATATTTGTTTGAGAATTCCTTTCCATAAGTGTGGGGATTACCAACGAGTAATGAGTGACCGGAGAATTAACATTCTCATCTAGACCTGGTCTCACACATGCGTACCTTGGACTTACTTTGCTCACTTTTATACGTAATTTGAAACTGATGGTTTTGCACTTTACGTTTGTTTTTAATAAATCTGTGATTGTATCCCAAGGCTGTGTTTCATTCATTTATAAAGGATTGTGGCAAGTCTAAATCTGTATCCGGTGAGCATGTTTTGATTGTTATCACTCTGCGCTCTGTTTGCATTAACCTTTGATAAATCCACGTATTAGTCTACAACAAGCTAACTTGTACTCAAGCACTCTGAATCAACTGTATCGTAGCTGAAGTTTGGGTGTCGGTTGTTTGTCCGGTCTCGGAGTCTGCTGTACTGGACCCGGACTAGCCTAGTCGCTAACTCGCTACCCCTATGGCTGCTTCTGTCTATACCTCGGTCCTTTACTGCTCGAGTTGCCATATGACGAGTTTAAACCCTGGATCCTCCTCTGAGGGCAGTGATAGATGTGTTAAGTGTAGTACAGTAGTAGCTTTGGAATCCAGGGTTAGTGAGTGAGCTGAGTCTCGAGCTAGCGCTAGCATTAGCTTTAGCCTAGCAGTATCCTCGGACAAGCAGCTCTCCTCCTCTGCTACACAGGCTGCTGTTGCTACAGGTCCATTCAGATTGTACAGAGCAGTCAGCACCATTGACTTCACAGTGTCTGAGTCATTCTTTTAAGACATAAGCATTTTCAAAAACTACTCGTGCTGTGCTGAATTTTCTATTAAATATCTATTCGTCTGATATTATAATAAATCCAAGCACCGCACCAATACGCGTAAATGACGTGGTCTGACAACGCTGTGGACATACTAGGGCAGGGGTGGCCAACCCGCGGCTCTTTGGCTGGTTCCGTGCGGCTCTTGGGCTTTCACACGACAAGCGTCAAAAACGCCTCGGTGGTGGTGCTGCCATTCATTCCCTATGTAGTTCTGACCCATAGTAAAGGCCGACTTCACTCCACTAGCCGGGCCGCCAAAACAATCTGACGTCGGCGAACGTCAATTCTGATTAGTCAGATGCGTTGTCAATCACTCTGCAGCCGCTGCCTCAGCTGTTGCAAATATCATAACAAACAACACGTTGCCTCGACCCATGACGTCCGTACGGAAAAAAGCTGGATGAGGGCAACACCTTCCTCAGTTTGAGGAGAGGACACCAGTGTGAGCTCGCTGGTTCCAGCCAGAAACCAGAAGGTGTTTGTGGAGCTAGCGCTAAGGACGGAGCAGAATGATTCCCACGAATATGACAACGCAGAGAAAAGTGAAATGAAAGATCGCAGCAGCAGAAGTAGAGGCAGAACCGAAAAGTCTGGAGGTGGTTTGACCAAATGGATTACATTTACGGACATCGGCTAACACCGGCTAACACCAGCTAGCGTTACACCAGGAGATAAGCCAACTCTGCCTGGTGAGTGTCTGTCTTCAATCAAATGCAAAAGTATCTGGTCTTATACTGAGCATGTGTCTGTGGTTCTAAATCAGCTAAAGTGGTGTTGGTGTTATGTGTGTATATCTTTTACTAAATGCAGTCAGAGTGAATCATGGTTCGATAAAGACAGTTGTGTTTCTGCTGAACACTGGGTTGAAACTTGATTTTTTTTTCTTGGTTAGAGATTGAAAGCATTTATTTCGGAATCATAATTGATGTTCGCTGACGTGAAATTGTTCTGGTATCGACTCGCCCGGTTAGAACCAGGGCCAAACCATTGATAAAAAGTACCGGGGAGCGGCTGAAGCGAGCGGTGGAAGCGCCGCAAACCAGGGAGAGTCGAGTCCAGCCATTTAGTGCTGTACGAGTCAATTTATGTCATTATCATGTTGATGACATTTACAATAAATCTGTCTGAGCAGCAGTGTGTGTGTGTGTGTGTGTGTGTGTGTGTGTGTGTGTGTGTGTGTGTGTGTGTGTGTGTGTGTGTGTGTGTGTGTGTGTGTGATGTTTATGTAGTGCACATTTGTATGATGTGGCTCTTTGCTGAAAGAGCCACATCACTAAGAGCCATCACTAAGAGCCAAAAAAATTGGCTCTTAGTCTCTGACTGGTTGGCCGCCCCTGTACTAGGGGGTACTATTTTGATGGAAAAGCATGCAAACCGGGCCGTGCCGCGCCGTTTAGAGTTGATACAAAGCTAACCGGTACTGTGGAAAAGCGCAACAGTCCCTCCAGCGTGTCCTGGGTCTTCCCCGGGGCCTCCTCCCGGTGGGACGTGCCCGGAACACCTCCCAAGGAAGGCGTCCAGGAGGCATCCTGAACAGATGCCCGAGCCACCTCAACTGGTTCCTCTCGGTTGAGAAGCAGCGGCTCTACTCCGAGCTCCTCCACCGTGTGACTGAGCGCCTCACCCTATCTCTCATTTTGACAGCTTGTATCTCGTCTTTCTGATCATTACCTAAGGCTTGTGACCAGAGGTGAATATAATGAAACAATATGATTATGAAATAGAATAAAACTCTGGAGCAAGGATAATTACAGTGGTGGAGTGTAGACTGTAGTTAGCAGCATCAGGAGGTGTTCACAGATGTTCACATTGTACTTTAGAAATTCATATTTAGCAGTTTATGTTTTGGCGGAGTAAACAATAGTAATAATAGCAGCAGCAAGTAACTAGTGAATTATCAGAACAGAAGTCTCTGATGAATGGAATCTGTAATGATGTAGTGATAATACCATATAGTACAGCAGGTAAAGTGACCAGTGTGTCATCAGAACAGGAGAAATCAATAGAAATAAAAGTGTGTCTGAGACGGTGACAACGGAACACTGTTAGAAAGCAGTTATAATCCTGAAGTCTGTTTGACATTATAGGTGAATAAAAAAGCGTGTGCACCGGGAGCAGAGTGATGTTGTTTTGGGGGGTGCTGTCTCCTGACCCCCACATCGCTGCACTGCGGAGCCAGCACAGCCTAATTAACCAGTGGCTTAATTACTACATCCACAAGAGTAATTAGCCGCCTGTTACTGAAGCTGTCCTTCCCGGCGTCTCTTCTGTCTGACTGCGCATCCAAACTTTACACAACACAACTTTACTGGCAGCAATTAACTCAAACTAACAATCACGCTAATAAACAGCCGTGCTATTGTTTGTGCTCTAATGGAACATGTTGGCCCCGGGCAGGATTCTGGGAGCAACTGGACTAAGACTGGTGTTCTGGAAGCTATCTTTGTGCAGTGTCTGAGCAAAGGAATGGTTTGTTTTATGATAAATGACTAAAAGAGACAAGATGTTTCCCTCTGATCCAGGGTTAACTCATTTTGGTCAAGGGCCGAATAAAACATGTGAGGGCTGGTTGGGGGCCGAAAAGCATGAAAGTGGTCATCTTTTATTATACATATTTTTACATTATGAAGGTATTTTTATAAATGACCTGTTTTTGTAACCCAGGTAAAAAAAACATATATATTTATATATATATTTGTAATGTGTAAGTATAAAATATAAAATAAGTTAAATGTATTTTCACTGCGCGCTGCGTGCATAAGTCATCACGTCTATCAGTCACATGACCGTCAGTATCCATATTGACAGACAGTGTGGCTGCCGGTAGAAGCGGGTTGGGAAAGAAGCTGCAGGAGCCTCTGTTGATCCGTCGGCTGTGAGGGAAGCGTGTAGGTGTGGTTCACATTGGAGAACTGGCCAGGTGGTTCCGGATGGCGAGCTTAGTCCCGAACCAGAGTTGAGCTCCAAGAGAGGAACTCAGTCCAGACAGACAACTGCATCCTCCTGCTCCGGTCGGGTAGGAGGCTCCTGTATCCGCCCTTTTTCCCTTTTGATTTGTCCTCGTGTTCGAAGTGAGGGGCTCACTTCATATTGACTCACATTCACCCGTTAAAACTCACTCTTTGGAATATCTGAGCCCAACCAAACAACCGCTCACCGAACGAGCACTTGGATTATATTTTGGTGTTTTGTGCGCTTCGCGAACTCTCTGACATTTGTGCAACCGTTGAAGTGGACAATTCCGGAAGCCAAACAGAACTCACTGTCTTGTCTATATATGTCAAATTGTTGTATGTCATTGTTTGTCATAGTCTCTTTAAATTCAATACATGTGGTGGTGCCATCTGCAAAATTCAACAGTGTTTCAGTGTGTCTCTCTCCGCTCTTAGAGCCGAACTGGGACTTCTGATTTTTAGCCCAGAACTCGATAGTGTGTGTGTCAAATTATTACCTGTCCTGTAATAGTTTAGCGTAGCCACATGCTACATTTTACATTAGCTAAATTGGATATTCTTCTCTAATAGATTGAACAAAATTAGTTCATTCATTCAATGTCAACCCCTTTATTAGTCCATTTCTGGGTCGGGGGGTGACAATCAGAGCTGCACCCAATGCTCATAGCCCCAGTCCCTCTGATCCTCTGCAGGTGGTGGGTCCACAAGAAGATGGCTGCTCCGTCAGTGGTGAAACAGCCTTGGTCTTTCAGCGGGGGCTTCAGGCAACGTGGGGTTAAGTGTCTTGCCCAAAGACACAATGACAGTAGACATTTGTGGGAGCAGTTGGAGGAGTAGGTCCCACGGTGGGCTCAAACCCACGACTCCCAGGCCCAAAGGCCAATGCTCTACCAACTGAGTTCAGTTACTGTGAATTATAAATATCATTTAAAATCAATTTAGGGGCCACTGAAAATGGTCTGGCGGTCCGGATTTGGCTCTGATCCATGGTGATAACATGACCCCCGTGGCTCAATATTACGCATTATTTTGAGTAAATCTAAAATCTAAAACTGATCTAAAACTTTTGTCATAATGTGCTCTGTGTCTTTTATTACCTCAGAAACATGCAACGTATCAAGTTGTCATTCTTCGAGCAAAAAGGCCTTTCCAATGCTGCCAAATCAAACCTGGTGAATCGTTTGCAAAAAGAGGCTTGTGTGAATGACAAGGGAAAACAGACATAACGTGGGACATATGGCCTTCATCGTCGCCTCACAGCTCGTGTTGATCTTGTGAACTGGTACAGAACCAATCCACGTTCAGATCAGGGAGAGCCAATTCTGTTTTCGCAATGTTTTGAGTAAAGCAATGTTGTGTGCAGTGAGGTCGTTGGTTTTTTCACTGCATTGTTTGAATACTTATATTTTTTATTATCATAATTCATCATTTGGTTGTACTAAAATGCCACAGATAGCATTCTCGCTTCTCAGCAAGAAGGTCCTGGGTTTGAATCCCGGTCGGAACAGGGGCTTTCTGAGTGGAGTTTTCATGTTCTGCGTAGGTTTCCTCCAGGTGCTCCGATTTCCCCTAGCCCTAAAAACACGCACAATAGGGATGAATGTAAATGAGAGAGTGAATGGATGGTGTTGGAGCTGATGGTGCAGTGTGTTCTGGACTCGCTTCTGTCATCACCGTGTGGAAGGACTGGAACAATATCTGAACTCTGAATATTGTAAAGCGCTTTGGGTGACCTTGGTCTGTAAAATGCGCTATATAAATAAACATTACTTACTTAAAAACAAAAAGGATTTCATTTTTAATTTTGCCGATCCAGGAACAAAAATGCATAAATCCTTTGCATTTGACCCATTCTTGAATTTCACTAGAAGCAGTGGCGGCGCATGGGGACGCTCAACTTTTTTTTGGTACATGTTTTTGTTGTTTTTGGGACACACACGCACACGCACACACACACAGCTGCAGACTCCACACTTCTGATCCATGGCCTGTGTATTGTTTCAACTCTTGTAAGTTTATTTATATAACTATTTTTTTATAGACCAAGGTCACCCAATGTTCAGCATGTTTACTTCTGGAAAGACCAGACAGAGCATGATTCTCTTATCTGCTCTTTCACGATAAGAGAATTAGATCAGCTGTATGTGGTTTGGGTTTCTTTCTTTCTGGTCATCTGTTTTTGCTGAGGAAAATGTAACTTTGTCTTTTAAGATGACGCCATCAGTTGTCATTACTTGTACCAGATGTTCACTTGTCCATCATTCATCATCATCATCACATGTCTAAAGTGCTTCCACTCGACTCCCACACTCCAAAGTGGATCAGCCAATCAGCTCAAAGAGGCATATAGTGACTCACATACTCACTATACTATCAAGTGGAGTTGACTCATTGTTTATGTGTGTATTAAATGATACAAAAAGTGTTGTTATCACTAGAATTCCAGTGCAGTCAAATTGACGGCTTTTAGTAGTTAGAATCCTAGTTACTCAGTGTATGTACCATTTTAGTCTTCATAACTTTGAGCTTTTTCTGTATGTCTAGTAGTTCATAGTAGTTTATTTCTGTCATTATTATTGTCATTAAGAAATTCACATATTTATGAAACGAAAGTAGTTTTATCTGTGAAGAGCGAGTGCTGGTTACCATAGCAACACATATTTAAGATAAGATATTCCTTTACCGTAAGCAGTTTGCATTTGGTTCCTTTGCACTTCCTTTTAGTATTTAATCTTTCAAAATGTTTTAACATTTAGTAAAAGTGAGTAAGGTTGAAGAAAAACTTTAAACCTCTAAATTACATTACAATTTACAAATCAAATGAAAAATATTTTTGGTAGAATTTCTACGAATTCCATGAATGGGAGCCGTCAAATTGACTGCTCCGGGAGTCCTAGTGTTAAGACTGGTGTTTTTTTTCTGGTGTGAATCAAATATGAAGAAGTGGGTTGGATTCAAACTGCTGGAAATTAAGCGCATCATTTTCACCCAACTGCTCAGAGAATGAAGGATTACCCAGCATGCATCGGAACAAAACACGTAAGCTCAGTGAGGCGCGCTCCGAAGCCCGCGTGACACGCCACGCTCAGCATCACACCGTCTTCACAACAAGCCCACAGCGTGCTCCCAGACCGCCAGGCGCCACGGTGACGCAGCCGAGCAGAAAAAGGCACACGTGCGCGCTGATTGGTGCGGCGCGTCCAAGCGTGCAGACCGCAGATTCAAACCCGCTCCTCTGACAGCACACTCGACGCAACATTAGGCTCCAAACGTCCAGGAAATCGATCAGAAGAACAAGCACATCCGCTCACACCTCACCACGTCTGTATGTGCGCATGTACCGGAAAGACGGGGAGTTTGAAGAAGTAAATACCAGTCAAAGATGGAGAAAATGCACTTTGTGGTTCATTATAACTGGAAGAAATGATGGGAAGTACATGGATGTAATTGAAAACAGTAGATGGGGCCGGAGTACTTCTTGGATGTGAAATATAAATAAGGAACATTTAAATATTTAACTGTGTAACACTAGAACTCCCGGAGCAGTCACATTGACGGAAATGTAATTACTCAATGTATTTACTTCTGTGATCTTCATGACTTCAAAACCTTTTCTGTTTCTAAATGTAGTTTCTGTCATTTAAACAATTGTTTTAATGCATCTTGGACTACCCTGTAAGGACTACACTGTTTACTATCAGTGGTTAGCAGTTAGCTTTTCAACTATTTTTTCTTGTTTTTGCTGTATTTCAAGTTATATCACCAACTTCAGCCCTCGTTACAAGTGACTAAAGGTGAATTCCTTATACATTATTAACTTATAATAAATCTGGTGGGAAAAAACTGAGAATTCCATTGGTTGTATTGGGAGCAGTCAAAATGACAGCCGTGGGAGTTCTATTAGTGTCATAATCAAGGCATTAGTGTTAATAGTAATAAAAGACACTATCTTTAACTACGACACATTTGCCAATGAACCTGTTTTCACAATGGATAATGGATAAATATAATGTGGTCACATTTTACCGTAAGGCAGTTCATCATCTTCCACCAGGAGCTGCCACTTTATCAAGGTGCAGAGAGAACCAGAGGATTCATTGTAACGCTCACAGCGAGTCCCAGAACCCATGGATAGAGCAGGATGGTTGCCCGTGAAAGCACTAGAAGGACCTTCTATGGAAGCTTTATTGAACTCTAACAAAGAATTATACTCAATACTATATCATCCAGTATCATCCAAGAGTGTTTTTCCAGAACATCTAAACTACCCAGACCCATGTGGTTCGCTGCACACATGCGTCTGGGCCTCCTCCATAGCAGTTGGATTTCAGAAGGCGGGGCCTTCTAAAAAAATCCTTGTATGTGATTGTATAAACCACTTGTCCGTTATCTTGAATGACGTCTTCCTTCAACCACTCACATCGAAGCACAAGGCTCCCATGGGTTGCCAAATGACGGCAAGATTTTCCAGCCCAAAAAAACCCACCCAGAATGATTTTTTGGCCTAAAACGTAATTTAATCAACTTGGCCTATCATAATTCGGTTTATTGCCTTTCTGTTTATTTATTACCTACAAGTCTCTTGAAGAAAAGTATGCGGGAAACCACCCAACCTGGCAACCCTGCTGCATAGTGTTGTAAACAGGCACACCTAAACTCGTACTTAAACCAAACTTTACACAAACATTTGACATTTAAAACACACATATATCAACATAGAACCATCAACATCTCGCCTCATATTGCATTAAAAGTGACATCCGTGTCTTAATTTTTTTCATATTTAAACTTTTGAAAAAATTCGCGGACTTCATGTCCGCCATCTTGGATTGCTTTCGCTGCTCCGTGAGGCAAGTTTGAGAAGGCGGTGCAAACCCGACATAACACCGGCGATCCCGATTGGTCGATTAAAAAATAATCTGCTGAAGGAGTTTGCTTTGGCCTCGATACCAGACCCATTTGGTTCAGCCAGACGCCTCTGGTGGGGCATGGCGGAATTACAAGGGTACAGAACCAGGCTACATCTAAACCAGGTCTGAACTGGGTCTGAACCATGGATACTTAAACATTTTTATGTTGATTTCCCAACACAAACTCCAAACCCATTTCCCGTGGCAGATTTGTATCTCTATCAAAGAAGCAGTCGCTCTGCTCTGAGTAGTAATAGAGTTTAATTGTTGTATAATTAAAATAAAATATATACAATTATATAAATGAAATTCATTATTAACACTTGAAACAATCAAAATGATTGATCCTGCATTAATTTATAAAGTTCAGTACAAACTTTATAGTCCATATTTCAAATCAGATCAGAGAAAGATTAAGATCCTTTATTGGTCCCACAGTGGGGACATTTCAGTGTTGCATCACCAGTTACAGAACAGTAGGAATGAGGAGCACACAGCTAAAGTCAACAATAACTTTATACTGAAATAACATGAAATCTCTAACTTAAGTATAATCAAGAAGTACGAATAATACGACATTTGAGGTCAGGTCGGCAGTGTTCGTTGTACAATCTGACAGGAGCAGAGAAGGACTGGGGCCGGGATGTCCTCTAGTGCAGCGGCCGGAAAGAACAAGGAGGGGTTTGTGTCAGAAAAAGCCTCTCTCTGAACATTTGCGAAAACCACACGGAGAGATTTCTACCACATCCCACATCTTTGACGACGCTGTGAACACAGTATTAGGATCAAAACAGCGATGGAATCAATCAGCGAACAACAAGCGGGTCTGCTCTGTTCACACTCCACCAACTCCTGTTTATTCAGATGCCAAGCACAGCGCTGGATGATCCCGCACTGGGGGCTCATTACGCTACAGTTACATGTTTACTGTTTCTAAACACTCCTAATGAGGAAATCAAAGAGTGTGTGTGTGTGCGTGTGTGTGTGTGCGTGTGTGTGTGCGCGTGTGTGTGCGCGTGTGTGTGTGTGAGTGCTCTGACCCGGGCCCCTGCTCCGGAGCTTTACTTGTCGTGGGTTTACTGGGCTGAGGCAGACAGGAGGGGCCGCTGGGATGCTGCTGTCGTGAGCAAATATGATTCACATTACCCTGCGGGCCCCGGAGTGTCTGAGTTCGGCCCAGTGCCTCCGACTGCAACCAGTACAAGTGCATACACAGATGAACAAATGAAACCTGTGGACAACTTTGGATTGTTTTTTGATCCACTTTGCCTCGAGCGAGCTTCACACTAAAACTCCCAGAGCAAGTCAATTTGACGGCTTTTAGTTTTGGAATTGTAAAGGGACGTGTAAATGCTTGATATTTCCTCCATTGAGGGACGAAACAAGGTTTCTCTAATCTTACTTTCAGCTTTAGTCTTAATTTGTTGTGACTTTTTCTGTATTGATTTGTAGTTTATTTTTATGTCATTATTTTGATTATTTTCTTGTTGTTTAGAAATGTGAGTAGTTCTACCATTCTCTCCCAGAGCAGAGCAAGTAATAGTTACCATAGCAACACATTGTTTACTGTCACTTACATTTACGGCCGCTACAATAACCGCAAGCGCAGCGAGTCTCCCTCCTCGGCAGAGCGCGCAGAGACACGACTGCTGCTGCTCTCCCTGTGTCGTCTGTGGAGAAGTGTAGAGGACAATACGGGTTAGGGAGAACTGATGTAGAGCAACAAAACACATGTGTTTGTCGTAATGGTCTCTGTGAGCTGCTGTGGTCAGACGAGAGACTTTATGAAAGAAAAAAAACAATGTCCAGAATCACAGTGAAGCCTGCACCTCCTGCTAATGAAGCTGAAGCGCAAATTCAGACTGGAAGACAGGAGAACCCAGCACACTTTGCTCAAAGTCCTCCTCCTGTTGCCAACAGCAATAAGTCAATCACACTCTGCTGCAGCGCCACACGCAGATCCTCATGTGCAGCAAGGTGAGGATCCGGGTCTAGGCCTCGGGGGATTTCATCTCATCTCAATTCTGCAATCGTGCAGTGCTCTGCCAGGGTCCACAGTCCACAGTCATATGTGTAATTTACAGTATGTAGTGTCAGATCACTGCTGAACAACAATTCTAAAGCTATGTTTTGTCTGCTCGAGTCTCTCCAGATTGAAATGTTTAGATACAGGTGCTGTGTGTGTGGAGCTGATCTCGGTCCAAGGGCCGCTAGTGAAAACATGTTTCCCATGTGTTTTGACTGGGAGCCGCATCACTGCGTGAGCAAAAATGTGCGAGACTCCCATTTAGGGCAGACGAGCACAAATCTGAAAAACATATCTTACTGTTTCACAAATGTATAACTAATTCATTATTGGGAAGAATCTCTTTTCAGTTTTGAATGGAAAATGAAAATGTTTTCCATTTAGTTAAAGAAATTGCAAAAGTAAAAAGACAAAATTAAAATACTGAAATCTCCTCTCAGCCATCAGCTCTCAGTCCGTCCTTTCTCAAACACTAAATAGACTGCAGTATTTTAAATCCTGTTCAGTTGTGTTTTTGTTTTTTAGATTTACCAGCACATATACGTCCCTGCTGCAGGTCCTGGAAACTGGAATACATCATCAGTGTTTTGCAGAATGTTTGCCTTTAAAGTTGTGTATTTTATCAGTTTGAATGTTGTGTAACACCAAAACACATAACTTAAAGCGGCAGGACCTGTCAAGCTAAATGTAATAAAATACACCCAACATGTTCCTGGTTTTCTTCTCTCATTAGTTTTCACCTGTCTTTATGTTTTCTCTCTGTCGTAGCAACGTGACATAGCTTCATCAGACAGAAAAGTGGAGAGGACCACCACTTACAAAAAAAGATAAAATATGAGGTAATAATTGCTTGAATCGAGTGGTTTTCATCTTAATCTGAGTAAATCCAGTGTGTGTGTTTACCTACAGTTTCTGTCTCAATCATTCAATCAATCAAATTGTATCTATAAAGTGCTTTTCATACAGAAGATGCAACACAAAGTGCTTTATAGTTTGGTTAAAAACAATCCCGCCCATGACCCCTCCTCCCGACCCACCCCGAACAACATAATATTATTAAGAACTCACGCACACGCAGACGAACACACACAAACAGACACACACACACACACCAGTAAAGCAGTAAAACCATGAAACCATGAATTTGGGATCCAAAACTGCCAAAAATCTGAAATATATAACAATAATAATAATAATTAGCTTCATTCTACAGCCCTTTTTTGGACACTCAAAGATGTTTCACATGTCATTATTCTTAAGCCTAGTGTATAGTCGCGCGGAGCTTACGTGACGTCACTTGCACAACGCATGGTTCACCTCAAG